AGCATCTGGAACTTAAATAACCAAGGAGGAATTGGGCATTTAGTTGGGATCCTGTAAAGAACTTAACGCAGCTCTCCGCAGTCCTAGTAAATCATTTGACATCATTGCTTACCAGCTGCTAGATACATTGCCTGTGTTGACCCAGATTCAATCTGTTATCCCTAGTAACTGATAAATCATTCTCAGTGATGTCACTGTCTAGTAATAATTTGAAGGGCAGCTCATACATAGCCTGTTCCCTTCCTTCTTGTATCCATCCTATCAGAGGCTGGGCATCATCACGACTACTCTGACATTAGATACACCAGCTCTAAACAGAGATGTTCTGTTGCATCCAAACTGCTTACCAAGGTCTTTTAGCCAGTACATTCTTCTTCCCCCCCCCCCTTCCCCATTTACAGTATTTGGCCACAAATGCTTGGCTGTGTAGCTTTTATGGCCAGTTGAGCATTATTCCATTGCCAGTGCCAAAACTTGAGAGTACGTTAGGAAGCTTCGTAACGTCACAGGGATGGGTACATGTGATGTCACAAAGAGATGGCAGGCACCGACTGGGAAGGACAGGTTTCTTTCAGGCTTTGTGTTGTTTCTGGCAGAGCATGTGTAACAAGAAGGCTCCCAAGTTGCAACACTTGTGCTCCACTCCCTATCTTGCTGCAAATGACCAAAAGTTAACATACCAAAAATCTAGAATTGATGGGCAGGGACTGAGGAGTGTGCCAGTGGTACATGAATTTGGGGAAGTCGTGCCATTTGAAGCAACACACATAGAAACAGAAACATGTGCACTCACAAGTCGTTCACCCTGGTGCTGGCTGGAGATGGATGTCCAGGCTTTAAAGCCATCAAACACATGCAAATCAAATCTTCTTTTCCAGCACAGCTTGTACTCATATTTGTTTCTCTATCTGCAGATCCTGGAGAAGCACAACAATTCCTTGATTTCCGCTAGTGCCTTAAGACACCATACTGTCACTATGTTTATTTCTGTCAGATAAATGGGCCAGCCTAGAGATAGAATCCTAAATACAGCAGCAGTGGATTCCTCTTCCCTCTGTGTGTTGGATCATTCTCAACCACCCACTTGGTCTGACAAGCAAAATTTCCAAGTTTCTGTAAAATAGGGTGGAGACAGGTGGTTGGACAGCTTGGCGAATTACCATTTAGCTGAAGAAATAGCAATTGTGAGTTCAGTTCCCCAGTGTGCCTCCCACAAGAAGAGCCAGCCTGTGTGGCCTTGGGCAAACCATATGGTCCCAGGGCATCCCCAGAAGGAGGGAAATATAAACCACTTCCGAGTAGTGTACTTCATCATAGAAAACTTTGGAAGGGATCACAATAAATGGGCATTGACTTTGCAGAAAATAGTCAAAGGGAAAAGATCTGATGAACGTCTCAGGGGACAAATGAGCAGAGCATCTAAAAGCTGCCGAATCTTTCACCTTACTGGGAAATAGCACCAATGTCGAGCCTCTGCCCTAAGATTCTGAACTACTTCATTTGATTTATTTATTTAAAATATTTTTACCCCACCTTTCTCCTTAAAAGGACCCAACATGGCTTGAAATCAAGTGCAATATGTACTTGATTTAAAGGCTATGAAATTTATTTATTTATTTATTTATTTATTTATTTTATTTATACCCCGCCTATCTGGTCGATATGACCACTCTAGGCGGCTTTCACATTTAGTGAAAGCCTTTCTGTTCCCAATTGGAAATCAAACTATACCTTCCACTAAATGTATACAGAGCAACTAGAGTTATGTAGGTTTGGGGATCTTTTTCAGGGCTATCTCCCAGCCCTCTTGGCAAATGTTTTGTCTATCCTGCTATTAGCTTTTCTCCTGAAATTAAGGCTGCAGGCACACCAGAGAAACGATCCCCACATCTAACGATAGTTTCCATACCTCTGGTGTTGTGCATTGCCGTCACGTGGTGTACATACCTGGATATGTTTTAATGTTACTTATCCATTTTCTTCCATTTGAATGATTATTTGAATCAATTTGTAAAAAAGTTTTCTAGAAGGGCAGCAGAGTGGCTGCCTTCCTGGGGGAATTTGCTTCGAAAAAGTATTTATAGGGTCATACACATATGCTGTACCTCTAAGGAATAAATCGAAACACCACTAGGACAAAAAATAAATAAAATAAAATAGAAGCCTCCTGGCAAGGAGGAATTGAACCACAGTTACACTGCTGGCCAGTAAAATGAACCGCTTATGGCCTTGCATTGTGTGACTGCAAATTTATGCTATGATCTAACTTTGTTGTAAGTAAGGAACAATTCCGTCCTGTGATCATGTCCTAATACAAGACTGTGACTATATAGGGGAGGAACATTGAGTTAAACTGGACTCCTTTGCAGATTTTACACCATGTCCCTGGCAGTTTCTATGGCTAAAATTGCTGCAGTCATTTGCAGCAGTAAAATAAATGACACCATTTCAAAAATCCACACAACACATTTCCTAGTCAGGTCAATTTTCAGTGGGTTCATAGCCCTATCCAGTTAATGCCATTCCCCCCTTCATCTCTCCCCTTGCCTTCTTCTTTCCCTTTTATGTAGACGTATCCCGTTCATGTCTCTACAATTTTGACCTGTTGATTTTCTCTTTTTTGGAAGTAACACAGCGCTAGTTCTGAGTCTGGCTCTCAAGACTAATTAGGATGGATCTGGATGTAATGTATGCACATGGGTGCTGCTGAAGAGTCAGTGAACTATCAAGTTCTGGTTCTCTTTCAGAAACATAACTTGCAATTCACCTGTATTGCATTATTATGGATTTCTCTGTCGTAACCCAACGTTATGTACTAAGGTACATGGAAATATGCAAGCTTCTGACTCAGGAGACAGTTAGGTTGCATTCCTTGTTATGGAAAGGTTTGGGCCAACTAGAAACATGACTTCTGTTTAGAATATGGATGTAGCTAATTAAAAATAATGAGTCACTTGTAGGTCTTTTCCCCAGTAACTAGGATATAACTATGTTGCCTTATGATTGTCATTTAATGGGAAACCATTTCACAGTTTTTGTGAAGTAACAATATTAATTACTTCATAGTTGCACAAGTATTATCTCACTGGATGGTCGAGGAGGAACATCACATGGTTCAAGCACTGCTCTGTTGACTTAAAAATATTCAAATGGTTTTAAAATTACTATTATTTTAGCTATTTTTGAGAAAAATCTATTGTTTCCTTTTTTAAAAAAGCAGCAACTACCATAACTAATTACTTTTAAGGAAATGTTGGTCTGTAACTAACAATTTCTTTTAAAAAGTAATTTTTGAAGCTGATCTACTGCTTTTCTGTCTTCTCAGAACATCTCACCTGAATGTTTGCATTACTTGTAACATATTTGTGCAGCTTAATTGTATGCCCGTTTGCTCACGATCAAGGCCCTTTCCGTAAGGACGACTCTTACTTCCAAACATGTTCTTTGAGGCTTGCAGGGCATTAATTGTCTCCATCATCTCTCTTTGCTTCTTCAAAGTCAAGGATCCTAGCATAACAGAAAATAAAATAATGTTCACAAAACATCTTCCAGTAAGCTGACAATTATTCATCTGTATTTTTGAGACTCGCTATTCATGGGATTCTGGCTGCAGTCCTATGAACAATTACAGTTAGGAGTTAGTCATTATTGAACTCATGAAATTTACAATAGAGGATATATGAGTAAACATGCGTAGGATGGGGCAGCAGTTATAAAGAAAGGGGTCAGTAACATTTAGATGGCATTCAAGCACAATCTGTTGTCCTCTGGTCTGTATGAATGATTCAGTAGGACAGCTTTTGTAGCTAAACCTTTGAAGTTGTCACTCAGTTGTGTATTTTTTTAAACTGCATACATAGCAGGTTTCTGTTAATGTTTCTAATCCACAGTGGTGGGGTTTGTGGCTAATTTAATCCATTTGTATCTTCAGCAGTGATAGTAAACATTGACTTATGAGATGTTGAAATGTGTGACAGCTTTTACTTGTAGTATGATATTTTTCCTTCAAGCATGCTCATGCTTGAGGAAACAGTCTCGTATTTTGTTGTGAGTTGAGAAAAGGGGGGGAAATTGTTTGGTATGTATGAAAGAAAATAAGTGGCAACCAAAAACGACAAGGAAGATAACAGGCTACATGACAAACATCTTCAGGAGAGGTATTGATAAATGGGCATTAAACGTACAGGGGTGTGCAGTTATCTGTGAGTGCCTTTGGCCGGGACACAAAAGGAAATGAGTGGATGACATTCCTAGATTAGAGGCCTGATTACCGAGGATGTTGTTGTGGTGAGGTTGCAATTAAAATGCTTGTCAGGCGCGCAATACCAGGAGCCGTTTTGGAAGGCTGCTTCAGCGGAGGCAAGTGGAAGCAGCATCCTATTGCAAGTGAGTGATGGCGGAGCTGGTTGCCTTGCCATCATTCTGGAAAATTCTGCGGCCAGCGAGCTCCCTCTCTGTCTTCCACTCGGCCTCTTTTCCTTTTCACCACTGCGGGGACTTCATTTAATTTGCAGTTTTCCTCTTCCCCGACACACATACGGAAGCTACAAGCGGGGTGGCGGGCAGACTGTGTCTGTCTGGCTCTGGAGATCAACGGCAAGCTCACGGATATTAATTCTCTGGGAGGATGATTATGCTGCAGTTACTTAAGGAAATGCCTTTGTGGTATTGCAGCACAGGAGCTGGTAATGATTCCCCCCCCCTTTGTTTTACCATCAGCTTGCCGTGACTGCCTTTTTAAATACCTACAATATGCTGGTAGTCTCCAGGATTCTTTTCTGCTGTAAATTAGGGGCAGATTTTGCAAAGATTGAGTGAAGTCGGGCTCTGTATGTAAGGCATTGCAGCCTACATATGTTTATGCTGCCTTATGTTTGGGGATATCTTGCAAAATTTTCTGCATGGAATTTTTTTTAAGTAACTGTTTTGGGAGTGCATAGATATGGGGGGAGAAAGACCTTTCCAGAGTAATAATTACTATGTGGGGGGTTATTTTACAGATTCTCCAGCCTTTTCTTTCTAACGTGACACACTCCTTGGGTTTCACTTCGTTGCAGACAAAAGGTAAGGTTTGCTGTATTTTTTTTTTACCCATCCATATTCACAAAGGGGGAGTAAGTATTTCATCTGCAGGTGATATTTTGCATATGACATTTCATTCCATCCTGCTGTACAGTATTATAGCTTTCTTTGGGTATAATGTCTTGGCTGTGGAATGGCATTGTGGAAGTCCATTGTGATGGCTGCATTCTGAGAAGGAAAAAAAATCTAGTTGATGTGCAGAGATCGTTTCAGATAAGCTCAGTCATTTCAGGCACGGCACGAAAGAAAAGCCTTAACATTACTGTATCACCTGTCAGAGGTGCAGAAATAAACACACCCCCAACAAAGCAGGTGGGGGGGAAGCCCGTAGCCTTCCCCTGAACTATTAAAAAGAATGGATTTCTGAATTATCAAATTCTTGTTGATTGAAAATCTGTGTAAAGAGGTGGGTGAGAGGATTAAATACCCTGAATCATTCCACTAGGTAGAGACTGCTACAGAAAGAGGGTTGTGATTTTTCATAGGGACGAAATAGTGGACTCTGCAAACCACACCCTCCAGTATCATTAAGGAATACATACATCCATGTCATTGATTTTTATACACGTACAAGATAATGTGAGGAAACAGCACATGTCTGTCTTCTGTCATTTCTTTTTCATTAAGCCATTCAGTCTGTAAGAGCCCACGCCTACATATTGCCACAAAAGCTGCAGAACATTTTGTTACCAGGACACATACAAATGTATGTACTTTACTTTGCTCTCCGCTCTTTCCTTGCATTGCTGTAAAGCCATTTTGCATTATATATTAAAGAAAAAAGAAAGAAAACTGCAACACAGTATTCTGTAGCAAAGAATCTGACAAGCTGTTATTTTGATTTAGCTTTCGAACGAGGCCTAACCTGTTCTGGGCACTTGATGCCCTTCCAAGTATGAAGATTGTTTGGGTGTTATGCTTTGAAAGACCATTTGGAGTACACCCATTTTTTTTAGAATGCCACATCTCATTATTTGTATCCCAAAGATACTTTGTTAAAAATATATAGTGCATTTATGTACCCATTATAGTTTATTTGTGTGTAGCAGTAAACATCAAAAATGGATGTGCAGATATTTATGTCACTAGGGTGCAACTCACAAAGTTTTATGATTTGGGCAGTTCTCTTAAGTGGCAATTCAAGGTTTACATAAGTGACCCTTGGTGTGCGTGTACAAATGTGTGTACACACGTTTGAGTGTGTACGTGCATTATGCATTATGTCCTTATCTTCTGTATGAAACCCTAAATATTAACCGTTATACCATTTAAAAAACAGCTTCTGGCCGCCCCCTTCCCCCAGCCAGGTAAGGTCGGGAACCCTTGTTCTGCAGACCTTATTTGACCCATGGGGCCTCCCCACTGAGCATGCAGATGCCTCTGCAATGAAGGCTTCTTGATGCTCCCTCACTATGAGGCTCCACATGTGCACTCCTTTTCCTGCTAAGTTCCAGAATGTGCAGAGATGGCGCCCTTCAGGGCCACTGTTCCAGGTTGCCTAGAGCACATTGAAGTGGCAGCTATCAAAGACCTCGTCTCCTTGTGTCCCTCTCCTTTGGGAAAAGTGTCACGAGTATGGATCCATTTTGCCCAGGAGCCCCTGCTTTCAGGTGTTCCAAGTGCTATGAAGCAGCAACCACATATCCCTTACCTGTTAGAAAATCAGTATTGGAATCAGTATGGGAATTCCTCTGTCTCTCTATTTATGGATGTGTATAGAGGTGTGTCACAGGAGAGAAGCCATAGCTTCTGCATATGCTTTGTGTGCGGAAAGACCCAGTTTCGGTTCCCAGCAACCTCCAGCTGGGGCAGGAGAAGTTCCTTTTTGTAATTCTGGAGTGTACTGTCACTGGGTGTTGAGAACACTGGACTAGGTGGATCAGTGGCTTGATTCAGTCTAAGACAGCTGCCTTGCAGGCATATGAATGGTATCTGTGCGTGAATGAGTGGTGTGTCTGTGTGTTTGTGCAGGAAAACAGACAGACAGAGGGTGGTCATGCCCATTGTTGTCATGCAGCTGACTAGACCTTTCCTTCGGTGACAGGCTGAAAAAACATCTGCACCCCCTTGAACAGAGACATGAAGAATGTGTCTAGGCTTCCAAATCCCATTCTGGTCTTTCTTTTGAGTTCCTCCTCCCTCATTGGGGCTACTTTCCCCTTATCAATGCCTTTATGTTTATGAGGTTCACAAAGCAAATGAACATATGCTAGCTAGGGTATCCCAGGCTTTTCACTTACTACTGTCCAGACTGACTGGTTCTGGCTCTCCAGGACCTTTGGCAGAGGCTCTTTCCAGTTCTTGCTGTCTAGTCCCCTTGTGCACGTGCTCCATTTGACCGACTCCAATTCTCTAAGCTATAGGTAAAGGTAAAGGTTCCCCTTGACATTTAGTCCAATCGTGTCCAACTCTAGGGGGTGGTGCTCATCCCCGTCTCCAAGCCGTAGAGTCAGCGTTCATCCGAAGAGAGTTTCCGTGGTCACGTGGCCATAAGCTATATCTGTTCCCCAAACCTAAACTATTTTCTGGTGAATAACTTACAGGGAGGAGTATTGCTAGATTACAGCTTCTATCAGGCCTAGCCTGCATAGCCAGTGGAAAGAGTGGCAGTTCAGCCACAACTGAAGCACCACTTGTTCTCCATCTGAGTTTATGGTTCAGCATGTAAAACGGTATACATGGCCGTATTTATGGAATGTACTGGCCAATCTTACATGTTTACGCAGAATACCCACTCAGTTCAGTGCTGCTTAAACAAGCAAATGATTTCTCCTCTGTTTGATGATCTCTGTTTGCTTACTAGCCCTATCCCTTAAGAAATCCAGAATTTTTTGTGGCCTGCCCACTAGCATTATAGGCCCAAACAATGCCCCATATATATATATATAGGAGAGTATTTAGAGTGGGACGTCTGTGGCATGAAAGAACTCTGGGCTGTGTTCATTACTCCTGAACACCTCCTCTGGAATTCACTTTTACCTTGCTCCCCTTCACTTTCGTTTGCAAAATAACCTGTACGTATTGGCATCAAAGATCTCAAATGAGCCTCTTTCTTTTCTTCATTTGGGAAGGTTTCCTCTGAAAGGGATCTTATCCAGTGACATTTTTGTTTTGGTTTTTAAAAGTTGCTTTTGTGGAAGAACACCTGGACATGAAAAACAGCTTGGGTCCAGGCTGTTTGAAGGATGGTATCACCCCATATGAACCTTATTGGCTTTTAAGGTCTCCCTGGGGAGGCCCTTCTCTCAATTCCACCATCTTTCCCACCTTGCTTGGTGAGGACACAAGAGAGAGAGAGAGAGAGGGCCTTCTCAGTGGCTGCCCCTAGGCTTTGGAAGGCACTGCCCTGAGAAGCTAGGTTGGCCCCTTTCCTCGAGTCCAAGCTGTAAGATCTCAGTAAAAATGCTGGTTTTTAACTTACAGGTTTTAAATGTTTTAATTTTTTATATACTTGATTGTTTTAATCTTAATGTATGTTTAATTGGTTTTAAAATGTGATATTTATATAGTGTTTCAAAATGTCTTATTTTACCTGTTGTGAACCATTGTGGGTCCCCTATAGAGAAAAAGGCTGCATATAAATCATTTAAATAAATAAATAAATAAAATAATGGGGCTTTTGGATTTTTAGAACACCCATTCCCAGAACCTGACCAAAAAACCCCCAAGAAAATGTTGGAAGTGGGAGCCCATGCTCTTCCCAGGCTGTTTTGGCTTTGAGTAGCAGGAAGACTGTTCTGGGGCAATGTGGGAGTTCCAGTGTGGAATTTACAGAAGGGGGGGTAATTCTGTTGGAGACAACATCTCTACAGTTCAATGGGCATTGGGGTGAGCCCTCCTGTTAACTTTTTCAAGTCATAGAGGACTTTGGGATTCTGACAGTATACTGGGAGTTTTTCTTGCTCTTTGAAGCATAAACGCCCCAGGAAGACTGTGGAGGTAATGAGGGCCGCTTTGAAACCTCCATGTTTTGGGGCTTCCAGAATTCTGTCTGCACGTTTTTAGGTGAATTTTGGGAATGGGAATCCTAAAAACTCAGATATCCCATCCCTATTGGAAATTATATCACCCATCTGCGATCTGAAGTGAAATACTTCCTAAGGCAGAACTGAAGAATCCCTGGCTTTCCAAGATGTTGCTGGACTCTAATATCTTCCAGTCCTTGCTAGTCATAGCCAGTGGTCAGGTCAGGAATTGTGGGAGTTGTAGTTGAGCAACAAGTCACAGGTGGAAGCGTCATTTCCTGGCTGTTGAATGTAGATCTCTTGAAATCATGTTATTTTCTCTAGATGATCACATTAACATTCAAAGATCATTGAGAACAAAGAACACCACTATTGTTATTTCATGTAGTCATAAAATTTTCATTGTTTTTCCCCTCAGAGAAATATTTGCAAATGTTTTATTGGTGATATATTTGATGCTAGGAAGCATTGGGGCTGAAAGGCATGAATTAGGAAGATGTGTGAAATTCTCATCCATTTGTCTAAGGCTGGACAGCAGTGATTTATCTTTCCTTTTAAAATGTTAACCTGTACCATCTGCAAACAAGCTGAAGCAGCAGTTTCTATAACAATTCATTAAAAAAGAGTTCCAGACCTGTGCTTCAAGGACTGCTAGTGTTTTTTGGTTGCTCTCGATTACATCATTCATGTTTTTGCTGCAGCACTGGCAAAGGAGCCAGGAAATTCTGCACGAAGCTTTTTTTTTAAAAAAAAAATCCTAGATAATTGATGATGTCAAGTCATACACAATCAGATCCAATAGAGCAAACTGGGGTTTTTTTTCAAACAGTTATTGAAATGATGACTGAAATAATGAACAGTGTTGAAATAATGAACAGTATAATTATCTGTGTATGTATGTCATTTCTAGATACAAGAGATTTTAGCAAAAACTGGTTCTCAGGTACAAAAAAAGAGGATAAACTGTCAGTAGTCATACTTGAAAACTAGTCAGAAGTGATGGTATGCAAATGATCC